AGCTGAGCACCCGTTCATCGGCTTATGTAGTGTACAATTACAAGGGACTCGGTGTCCGTACAGTCACAGTGCAGTCACTTAAAAGGCTGCGTCCTAGTTACTATAAGCTCATGAATTTAAGGCATTTAAGACACTTTCGGGTGCCCGGGCGTAATCCAGCTCAAAGCAACACAGGAAAATCTTTCAATTTTTCTATCTCTACCTCGACCACTGGATAGGTTTTTCTTACTGGAGTAGAAAATACCAGTTACTTGAATGAAGAAAGTCTACTGACAGGCTAACCGTGTAGTATATTAGTTACGAAGTAGTTTCTCACTAGTTCTATTGTAGTTACTTTATCGACTTCAAGTTATAAATATTATTGATCATTGAAAAGTAAAATTAATTATAAACAAAGCTTTTAATATTTATTTAATATTATTTATGAGTATAAAAATAAGTATATGTATTTATGTATTTTGATTGTAAAAAATGCAAAAAATAACTAAAAAGATTAACATTCATTGATTTTTATAGTAAACGTATAAATATATTTACAGTTTTATAACTTTATCGAAAATATTATGTATATATGTATGTATATTCCTGATTTATTAGTAGGATTACTTATTTCGTCTTCTTCTTCTTCGAGATAATAGGAACTTACTGAGCAGTTTGCACTTAAATTTAAAGTTTTTACGTAATGCATATATGGATGGGTGTGTATGTGTATATGAAAATTTCTAATAGATAAGTAACAAATATGTATATCTTTTCATTTATTTTATAGGTAGCGAAAGAGGAATCATATGAATTCGTTTATGTTTAATGCAGATTAACAATCAATGGTTATTATGTGTATAAATATAGGTGTAGGTATGTACAATATATAGGAGTACAGTGGTTATACATATGTATGTAACTTATTTAATACTAAAGCACTGAGGACAAGTATACAGTTAAACAATTTTTCAGCAACTTTCTAAAAAAATTATTAGAATTTTTATATAAATTTAAATAAGTGTAATAGCAAAAACAACTTTTAATGTCTCTATGATCCTTGAGAGCATTCTAACTGTATCAACCCAAGACAAAACTGTACTAAACTACTAAACTATACTAAATATTTACATAAGGTATAATATTCGTTCTTAAATTATATGCATTTATATACATAAGTGTATATACATAAATTCAAAAATATATTTGGAACACGCCGAAAATGAAATGAAGAAAACTTAAATTTAGTTTGTCGAAATGTTTTCAAATAACATTTTATTTACACCGCGAGAAAAAACAACTGATATATGTATTAACAGATTGCACTGTTGATATAAAAAATCACTAAATTAACAGATATGTTAAAGTTATCTGTTGTTTCAGCAAATCATTTCTGTTAATTAGTGCTAGAAACCACTGTAATCTATTAATGTGAATGATAATGTTGTTAGCTTTCTTCAGCAGAACAGATCTGTTAATCATTAACAGAAAGTTCTGTTGAACGAACTGTACTAATGTGGTTTTCGATTGTCTATTAAGTCAACAAATTTGATATGTTAAATATTAACAGAAATAAATGTTGTACCACCAAACACTGCTGTTGAACTAACAGAAATTTTACTACATCTTCTAGAAAGAACAATAGTAAATCCGTTCAATTCGTTAGATAATAATTTGCATTAGATAGACGCAATCATTCGTACGTTAACTTAAAAAAAAAGGAGCGGGTGTGTATTAGTGAAAATGTGTAAAATAAAATTATTTGTTATTATTGTTGGTAAAATTAATTATTGGGTGCACAAAATTTTATTTCATGCAACTTTATTTGTATTATAGAAAAAAATAAAACTTTTGACTGTCAACTGCATTTGATATTACTGTAAAAGAACAGTAGTTTTGCAGTTGTATTAACAGATTGAATTACTAACAGCAATATATGACAAAACAACAGTAACATTTATTAATAAAAACAGAAATTGTATTGCAAAAACAGCTAGAAAAATTTTCTTTTGACTAAAACCTTTGCTAATTCGAAAGTAAAACTGTTAAATTTCTAAGCACCATCTGTTAAATTAACAGATCAGTCGTTTCAATGTTATTTAACTGTGACCACTTAATATGTATAACAGAATTTTGTCTCGTGAGTGTATGTATTTGGCAATGCATAAAAATATATGTACATATGTATGTAATTGAGATTAAAAATATTTTTGAAATAAATTTGTATTTATATGCATCTATTTTTCAAGGTATTAACAGCAAAAAACTTGCAAATGGCAGTAAAAATCAAGTTTTATGCTTTAAATGCATATATTACGTAAGTAGGAAATTCAAGCTTACCTTGCTTTTTAGAAACATTAATATTTGTATACAAAAATAAATTTTGGTAATTCTACAATATATATATATATGTATATGAAGAAATGTATGAAAAGATGTATGAAATTTTTTAAATTAAATCTTTATAAATGTATTCATATACTATAAATAAGACCTAGTGATTTTAATTCATTTCGTTGCATTTAGTGTGAAATTAATGTCCAACTCGAGAAAAACTTAAGCCGATGGCAGATAAAGCTTTTTTGTTTCCGTGGCATTGCTAGGCTTGCATGCAAAGCATACATGTCCATCGCTTTGGCATGATGAAAATTTTTCATTTCAATTATTATTTCAAACAAAAGCTGAAAAAGTGTTGTATGAAGAAATAATTGTGCTTGATTTAAGGTTTCCTAGTTCAATTCCATTTAATTCGTGAACAAATAAAGAAAATAAATGGCAATTGAAATCTTGTTTTGTAGTCACTTCGCAGTACATAATTCGGAAAATGTATTATTATTTTGTTTTTATTACAACACAATCTACAATTTATTGTTTTGACTCTTTTAAATATAATTATTATTATTATTATTATTATTATTATTATTATTATTATTATTATTATTATTATTATTATTATTATTATTATTTTTATTATTTTTATTATTATTATTATTATTATTATTATTAATTTAGCAACATTAGTTGAAAAATTAAATTCAAAATACACACGAACCTGACATCGAAAATGGATCAAAAGCCAATGATTAAATGATTTCAAACACACTACTTTCCTGCAAATCTTCGTAATATATATATTTTCCTATATGAGCGCTTATATTTTCTTGGGAACTTGGAATAAATCGGAGATTCACCCGATTTCTTCCAGCTTGAAACGCGTCTGCTTTGTTCGTATATCATTATTCTAAGTTGCCTATGAGATGTTTTTAGTTAAGATTTCTGAAAACGATCTCTTTACGAATTTTTTCAATTTATTTCTTAGCTCAATAAAAGTCGTGGCGGCCGCAATAGCCACGTGGGTAGCATTGCGTACTGCCTTTCTGAAGGAAAATGTTCGAGCGTACCGCAGTGTATTGCTAGCATGAAATAAAAGCTCATCATAAAAATCCATAGGTCGTTCGGAGACGGCTTAGAATAAATAGTGGTTCCTTCATTTTAAAACAACATCTGTTACGGAAAAATAAAGTCATCTAGAATCTTGAAAATTATATTGAAATATTGAAATCGATATCAGTAGAATTGTTATATTTAGAAATTCAAACTTAGCAATCCTTATATTTCGCTTTGAGTTTGGGACCAGATCTGTGAAGTAGTCACGATTATGGTGCCGATCTCAGTAAGAGGGTACGACATTATACAGCTGGACAAAAATCCCCGAATGTAAATAATATTTTCTCTTCGGGATGTAACCAAGTTCAAAAAAATGCCAAATGTTATGTTGTGTTCTATTATTATTATTTACAGATTTGAGAATTATTTAGTGAAAGAGCTTCGACCTCAACTCCAACCAATATCCAGTTCAGCTGATAATCGCGCAACATGCAACATTAAATCGAAATTCATCCAAATTAGAAAGCGACCTGACAGATTGGGGATACTTTCAAAAGCAATTGAGATCACCATTCAGGTTCGAGCATATTACGAACAGAGGGTTCTTCACTTTTCGTACAGATGACAGCGTGAAAAAGTACGCCTTTTCTTTCACGAATTCTCAATGGAAAAAATTCCCTTATTTATTCGGAGCTTAGATGATAACAAATGTAATTTGGAAAAATGCTTGCCTTAAACTCGGTATCCTACAATGAATGGTACCCAAATCGAGCCGATAAAGAACTTCATGCAGCGTACAACAATAATAAATGTTATCCCTACTTTAGACACCCCACAGAAAACTATTTGTGCAAAGCGACTAAATCTTTGAAAATGTCAACAAAGCACGCCGCTCCAGTTGAAATCAATAACTATGACAAGGTTGCTGAAGGCAATGCTGTTTGCAGAACATTTCGAAAAGACAAGACATCAAGTTGGATGAGGCAGATATAAATGTAAGTTGGCGTATTTCGAACTAAAACTGGTAATTTTACTTGACCGACCGAATGGCAGTACGCAATGTGGCCGCAGACACGATAAACCGACGATGTTATGACGTCATGACGTGAAAATAGTTTGTGGTTGTTTCACACTCTAGTTTTAAACTGTTATCACAGCACTTCGAGGAGAGCTGTATGATGTTGGTGGCTCTAAAATGACAGATTTTTTTTTTTCGAAAAACAATAAATTTATGTAATTTTTCAAATACATACATATGTATGTACAATTAAAATATGTTATTTAAATTTTCATAGCATTATTTTTGCTTACTTTTTCGGCTCGTATTTACTTAATTATATTTAAATGCAATGGGAAGAACACCATTACAAGATGTGAAATGATTTGCAATTTTTATGTTAATTTTTTCAAATGATTTTATGTATGTAGGTCAAATTAAAATAGGGTTTTGGAAAAAAAGTACCGAAACAAAAAATTTCGAAATTGCATTGGGAATTTGGTGCTAGAAGATTCCAATAAAAATGATGAAAAAAAATCTTAAAGATCTTAATACAACATTTTTTTAAATTTGTTGCTAGTAAAGGAAAAAATTTAAGAAAAATATCTTTTTTTGGCTTACATTGACTTTAAAATTTTTGAAGCTGAAAATTCGAAAATTCAATTTTTTCACTGAAATGCAACATGACAAAAATAATCTAAAATTTCGCAAACTTTTTTGGTTATTAAGTTATGTAAGTGCGTATGTATATACATAAATATGTGCTTGAACGAAAATCTCTATCCAACTGGTATAATTGATTTGTTATGTTCTTATTGATTGCCTTATGTGCTTAATGATATTTATGTTAACTAAAATTAAATGCATATTTACAAATGTTTCGTATAGAGCTTAGAAGGAATTGTTTTGATTGCCAAACAAAATGGCAAGTTGTACGGCGGGAATCGTATATTGTTTGCAGCTGAGGTGCACAACAAATTATCACCATTATTCGAAATTCTTTGAAAAGTCCAGACAGTCTCAGAATTCTGTTTGCTGCAATGTCTCCAAAGATGACTTTTTAAGTAGTCGCGCCTGCGATGAGTCCGAGCTTTCGCTAATTCGATGCGAAAACAGTGGCGACATTATACTATAACCATCCGGTGTTGTGGCTTGGTAATCATCCAAGAACATCGCTCTATTATGAATAGTATTGTTATTGAGACGCGGTGACAAGACCTCATTCAATGGATAACTTGTAGGGATGTCTATATTCGTATGTTTGGGCGGTGCAATGTTTTCGATTAAGTCGTTGGAGCGATTAAAATGCTCCATTTCGTTGGTTTGCGACAAGATATCCAATGTGGAGTCACGTTTGAACGGCGAACTTTTGCGTGGTTTAGGTAAGAGTTCCAGGCCATCACACTCATCGATTTCTGGCATTTCTACCGATGCACTTGGCACGTCCAGACATGGTGTTAATAAACGTGGATAATTTGAGATATAATCGATTACTTCCCCAGCAGTGGGTCGTTTTTTAGGCTCTTGATTCCAACATGCTTTCAGCAAACCCTCTAGCGGTGGTCTTGCGCCAGTAGGTATTTGTAATGTTTTACCACTTTTAATAAAATCAAATGCCTGATTGTTGGTTAGACCTTGATAGGGATACGAGCCAAAGGTAATTATTTCATATAGTACAACACCGAAGGCCCACACATCAGAGGCTGGCGTGAACATGCCAAGAGATAGTGATTCTGGCGCCATCCAGCGTACAGGCAACATGCCTTTCCGATTGAAACGATAATAATCACTTTCATAGGTGGAGCGCGCCATACCGAAATCACCCAGCTTAATAACACGTTGCGCATTCACCAGACAATTGCGGCATGCAACATCGCGGTGCACATACTTTTGACTAGCTAAATAGGACAGACCACGTGCCACATCCATGGCGTACATAGTTAGCCGTTTCGACGAGACATCTGAATCCTCAGCGACTTTTTCGTTCAGCAAATGTCGGCGCGCTAATAAGTAGGTCTTCAAATCGCCATATAACATGAACTCCATGATAGTGTAAATTGGTTCAGTTTGTAGGCAAACTCCGAGCAGTTTGACAATATTATTATGATCGAAACGCTTCATTGCTTCAGCCTCAGACAAAAAGTCCAGACGATCTTCGGTGGAGGCGCCCGCCTTTAGAGTTTTCACCGCTACTGCGGTCCAGCCGCGTGCACCAATCTGCGCCTCTCCACCATACACCGTGCCGAAAGCACCCTCACCCAAGCGACGATTTAGCACTACATTTTCTTTGGGCACCTCCCACTTATCAAGCGTATTGCCCTTGTTGCGCGATGGCGAAAGTAAATCAATGCCAAAGTTTTTCATAATTTTCGCTGACTGCTTGAGTTTCTTATCATAGCGTTTCTTCCAGAACAAGAATGAAGTTAACGATACAAAGAAAACAATCAGCAGACAAATAATGGTAATGACGGTGAAAGCAGCACTGTCACAGTCCTGGTTTAGTAACTTAGCCATGAATGCAAAATTACAATCGTAGCTACCATCTGTGGGTCGCTGCCCGCCACCACCAAGCCAGACCACCTTACTCTCATCCAAAACTAAACGGCCTCCCTCGGCTCGCAAACTATTATCACTGCCCACCACATGTGGCTTATATTTGCCAATAAAATTGAATTTCGTTGTGTGCCACTGCACGATATCCAAGTCGGTAATACGCGAACCACCTTGACCGAACTGTACTTGCCCAGAGAGACCAGTAAAATTAGTCTGCCATATAAGCTCTACAAAACGCGACACTACACTGGCGGAACGTAGTTTATTCACGGCATCATCATTCTCCGCTAGAAGTTTTGAGGCCGCATAAGCGTATGCCCACACAGCATCGTAAGCATATCCAGTATAATTTGATAAAACCGCATTGGTGTCCGTATGTGTCTGCAACCAATCACGTACCGTTATGTTTTCCTGCATTACAGCGTCAAGATCACCAAAAGGGGAATGCATTATGCTGAAGTGGCCTTCGAAAGCCTAGAAGTGATGGAGAAAAATTAAAAGATGAGAACATATAATGGTAAAACTAGCTTAAGTACCTTCTGTAGCTGCTCACTTGTGCAGTTGTGTGTGCCATCCAAGGTTTTCCATTCTTTGGATATCCATGAAGGTAGAAACCAAACATAGCCATCGTAAGCAGTCATCTGTGAAGAAAAATAGTAGGTTGGTTAAATTAACTTTAAGAGAATAATAAGCTTGAATGCTTCTGAAAAAAAAAATAAAATTTTTTATAATTTTTTAAAAAGATTTTTAAAAGATTTTGCAACAATTTACGCGCTTGTGTTCAGGATTATTAGTATAATATTAATAATTTGGAGCTTTGTAACCGCTGAAGCGATTTTCGGCCGAATACCTCTCATAAAAGTTTATGGCCGATCAAAAACAGCTGAAATTACAGCTTTCCAGTTTTTCTCGCGTCTTCAACGTAATGATTCATTCGTTCTTTTTTTTTAAATATAAGAACGTATTGCCATTGATGTGAAGCAAATATTAACAACCTCATAATGGCTTAGCGATATTCGGTATCGCTTTTGTAGTAAACTATCCGACAAATCGCTAGATAAGCGACGAATATTTTGAAGTTGGTTAGCGATATCGACAAAATATTGTTATTCGATAAAGGTTAAAATAAAGTAAAGTAAGTCGGGAAACTGCCTAAGCTATATAAAAAACAAAATGAAATAATAAATAAAAATAGCTTTTGAGTTTTTGGATAGAAGTTTTCTTCTGGACGTTGAAGATCGTTTTCACTTGAATGCAACTAAGTTTCTTGATATCCAACTAAAAGGTAGAAGAATAACAGCATTTTCTAAGGAAAAACAGGTAAGAATATAAATTTTAAATTAATTTTTTTTTTCAATTTTAACACTGGCTAATATATGTGAGTCAGTCGTCAGTGAGCCATTGTATTCATCGCGTGACAGAAGCAGTCAGCTGTTCAATTTCCCATTACACAAATAGAGCGGATAGCTACAAAGGAAATCTTGGCCTCGTCATCGTTCCCATTTGTTGGAGGTACTATTGGGGCTATGGATTGCGCTCATGTATCCATCATGAGTCCCAGAAAACATGAAGAAGCCTATGTTAACCTCCATGGATACCATTCTATCAATGTAGTAACAAAGTTAATAATATTTTTACATAGATATGTGATCCTTATCTGGCGGCAAATGCTAAGTACCGATTATTTTATTTGGAACACCTCTGCAGAGCAAAGAGTCAGGCATGAAAGCGTCAACCATAAAATGTTTTTGATATGACAAATTTTATAATGCATTGCTATTCATTTAATAAAAATAATTTTTTTTTGCCATTCCACTTTATGCTTTCGACATCTTTGACGTTTTGTTAAGCTGTGGTGTCACCTTTCCTCATTTTATAATAAAATGGAAATATCCGTTGTCGATTAGCGTCAAAACCTGAGATAGAGAATCGCATAATCGTTAGTGCAAGCGACAAAATTCGCAAATTTGCGATTCGAAAAATCGTGTCGACGAAAGTTGCAGAATTACACTACAGGACGAGCTACCGACCGAGCTCTAAACGCCATTCACAGAAACTGGGTCAACATCTTCATTAATTTCTTTTTTTTTTCTCGTAAATGGCGTAATCAGAATCTAAGCATCAGTAGGGTGATCCAAAATCCAACCTATCGAATTTATATATTAAAATGTACCTCTGTATTTATGGTTTTATTTTTTTCTCAGAAGTTGGTGAATATTTAAAGTTTTTAAGTGTTAGCATGGTATAGCATAAAATTTCTTATTAATTCAACTTGAATAAAAGCGTCCAAAAAATCGTCACCACGTTAGTTCTAAAAGAATCCGCCATATAAAAATTAGAATCGACTCCGATATTTAACGTATGTCTTACATGCAATGAATTCGCTCTAAAAACCAAAAAACCTATAGGCAGGAATTGCGGTAATTGAACAACAACATCTAAATAGAAGGACTGAACTATGTGTGTATGTAAAATGAACTGATAAAGTATAAAAGGAAACTTACACCCAAATTGTAGGCTTCACAAAGCGCAAGCTCAGCATTCCGGTTATGTATGTCAGCAATAATGATCTTGGCATGTTTTTGCTTGAGATCCAACAAATACTAAAAAGTAAGAATTTAAAATTTCATAGTTTCATATCACCAATTTCTCAGGCAACACAAATCTTACTTTATTCATTTCCGCAGCTTTCACATCATTCAAGAACTTTTTATTGATAATCAACTCCAAATTGTGTTGTTTCATAGCTGCCTCCATATGCGATATATACTCAGTGTATTTCTGACCATCTTCCGTCAATGCTGCCACACGTTTCCAGTCTAGAAATTTCATCAATGCAATATACACATCCTCATACTGGCGATTAGAGCCGATTGTACGAAAGAAATATGGATATGTTTGGCGATCTGCAAATGAAGCGCCCTCCGCCGAATACGAAATTACCGCCATATTGGTATGCTTCGAAATACCCGCTATGGGTTCGACTGTTTCGCTACAGGCTGGTCCCAGCACACCCAGCACCCGGGGCTGTGCAAAATAATGTATGAAAACCTTCATAACCTCATCGGCCTTGCATTGGCCATCATGGATTTGCGCAACCAGATTGTAGTTTTTCAGCAAATGACTATGATTTACAGCATCAACTGCTTTCTTTACTACACTCTCCAGATTCTGATGACCACGACTAAAATCCGTTAAAGGCAAAATGCCACCAATGAACAAATTAATAGCTGACTTAACGCTTGTCCATTGGGTGTAACTATGTTCGTTCGATTTTAACCATTCACAAGCTATTTGATTGTAGATATCCTCAACATTCCTATGGTTATGCAGCCAATGTGTACTCAATTGTATTTGGTGGAGCATATGATCGTCTATTTGAAATTCACGCAAAGTGGACACCAAGCGCTCCTCGTTCCTGGACAAACGCTCATCATAGTATTTGAGCACAGGCATAAGCTCATATTTACACGCTGTCATTTGTAGTACTTGCAAATCCTCACAACGAGGGAGCGTAATTTGGTAGAATTCAATATCGCCATCGATGATAATCGAAGGTGTCCAGTGGAGCACAATGAAACGCTTAGAATACAGCGCAACACTTTGATATTTTTCATAGAGTTGACGAATTTTTGTGCGAAAATCAGCGCCCAGCCAGAGTATATTAACGAAACTCGCTGTCTTTTGTATATGATGCATGACAAATGCCGTATCTGGCTTGTGTTCCGCCAGCAAGGTGACACATGTCTTCTCCTTGCATTGTGGACTTATGTACTCCTCATAACTATATAAATAATATACTTATACATATTGACAAACCAACAAATTTATAATATGTTATATTCGGTACTGTGCAGTCTCTACTCACTCTTTGCCCAGGCGCAGTTCAGTTAATATTTCCGCTGGTATTACATAACGTCCGTAATCGTTATGTGTGTGATTAAGAAAGACAGTGTAATGTAGACTGTAGACTGCGAGCTCTAACGGCATATTGACTTGTTCTCTGGGCACAAACCAACCGAAGCGTCCTGGTGTTATTGATGTGCCCGCCTCAAGTATGGTATCTAGCACAGTTGAGCCAACTGTTGGAGGCATCCAAATAGCCACATTTATCATGGTCAAGTTGGAATATGGTGGATATCTACATTAATAATAAAAAATAGCAGTAAAGTAATAATTTTCACTATACACGTATGTAAATCATAAGTTCTTACTTCAACTGTTTAAAAATATTGCGATAATAATTTTCTTCAAATTTAATTTGTGAAACATTTGTTGTATATTTGAACGGCACCAGCGACACATTACGGTAATTGAGTTTCTCACGTAGGACAATCGCAAAAATGCGGCTCATTACTTGATGAAGAGCATGGTCGGAAATTTGCAGTCCAATCGGGTAGTCTCGGATATTCGGAATATTTGTTAAAAGTTCTGAAAGTTAGAAAAAAATATAATTTTGTGTAGTAATATAAAAAAATGATAGTTTTAATCGAGGATCGAAACGAATCAATACTTTTGGCTAGTGAAAACGAATGCACTATTTTCGCATTAAATTAAAGGCTCCATACAAAATATGCACAGTTTAACTCGACAACTTTGTGGTATTTGACGGTAATGTCATTCCTCTCGCATACGAGGTGTGTTCAAAAAATATCGCATATTTTGAATATTCGCGCGTTACGTATAATCGAATCTCGATTTTTTTGTGGCGTTATGTTGGTACTCATATCTGTCGCTTATACCGACAAGCTTGGTCTTTTTAAATGTTCACTTAATTGTTGACAGCTGCTTTGCTTGCATGTGTTTTGGACCTATTCAATAAAATGGATCAAAGAACCTGTATCAAATTTTGTGTGAACAACGAAATTAAGTGCGCGGATGCACTCCGAATGTTGACTGTGGCATACGGAGAAGCTACTTTGGACCGAAGCAACGTTTATCGGTGGTACAAAATGTTCTCAGAAGGCCGAGAATATGTTAACGACGAGGAGTGTGCCGGACGCCCGAGCACTTCAACAACAGACGAAAAAATTAATTGCAGGGGCGTGGTGCATCATGAGTTCTTGCCACAGGGTAGAACGGTCAATAAGGAATAATACCTGCAAGTAATATGCAATTTGCGCGAAGCACTCCGCCAGAAACTCACGGATTTGTGGAAGAACAAAAATTGGCTTTTGCACCACGATAACGCCCGTGCTCACTCATCGTTGCTTGTGCGCAACGTTTTGGCCAAAAACAACACACTAATGATGCCGCAGCCACCGTATTCCCCAGATCTGACCCCCTGTGACTTTTTCTTGTTCCCTAAACTGAGAGGCCCATGAAAGGACGATGTTACGCTACGATTGACGAGATAAAGACGGCATGGAAGGAGGAGCTGAACAAGATAAAAAAATGATTTTTTTGAAGTGCTTCGAAGATTGGAAAAACCGTTGGCACAAGTGTATAATATCTCATGGGGATTACTTTGAAGAGAATAAAAAATATATTCATGAATAAATAAATAATTTTAGAAAAAAACAGAAAATTCGCGATATTTTTTGAACACACTTCGTAGAAATCCTTGTTTCTGTAAAAAAAAAAAACATTACAGGACTCGATTTTCCTATAGTGATCTTGAGGCCAATTCTTCATGAGACAAATCATTCGTCATAGAAAGGAATAGCCGGGAATCACTTGGTGCAAGGTCTGGACTATGACGTGATTTAGAATGAGGGCCTCCCAACCAAGCTCTCGATGATTCTGGCGATGAGTGTAGTCCGGCGTTGTCCTGCTGATCGCTACCGCTGGCCAGTACAGATTCGGAATAAGAATTTGGCCATTGGGATGGAGCACACACAACAGCACCTTACTGGCCGTCAATACTGCTTGGAGATCGTTTGTACCGATCCACTGCTCTTCGAGCACGTCCATTTCATTTGAGTTTGCTGTAATAAGTGATCTACTTTTTATTGTCAGTCACCACACGCCTCAGAAATGGGTCAATTTTATTTACAATCGACTGTTAGAGTATCAGGACCATAAACACTATTAAAATTTTCAGCTGCCTAAAGTTATCTATTGCAAAAACAATGGGTTGTTTTTACTAGTTCTAACATTTGTTATGACATTTTTTTAAAAATGAAGGAGTCGTAATTTTTTTTGAAATTAAATTAAATTGAACTGTAAAAACTTGAACAAATGATTCAAAATGGAAACAAAATCGATAAGGTTGGAAATATGAGTTTCTTTTACAATTCACTATTTTTATGAAATTTCCCTAAATTGTAAATAAATTTTAAGATGTTAGCATGATCCGGTGGATTTTTTTGGTAAAGAAGCAACTGGCAAGTTTTACTCAAAGCGGCGTCTGGTTGCCCCTGTTTAACAAAAAGCGCAATTTAACTCCTAAAAATATCCCCCACTGTTAATAGCCTAATGGCTTGGAATAACCGACCGTCTTATGGATTATTAGACGTTCGATTACGCCCTTGTTCAACTCACTATGAGATTAAATTTTATTTGGCATACAGTAACTATATTATGCCTATTTAAAATTATTTAATAGTCATGCAGACTACCACAAAACCGAGAGCGTACTGCCATGTGAATGGTCATAGATTGATGTCCGGGCCTGGTAGAAAATACAAATTTACAAATTCATTTTTCTAATTGCGATCAAACATCCTAGTTTATTGCTGTTCTGAAATAAGAGCTACTCATAAAAATTCATCTGACGTCCAGAGGGGGCTTAGTATAAACTGTAGATCCATCCAGTTTTTGAAAGAACATCAAGACGCAAAACCATAAATATATAATACATATAAGTGTCCGTCCTCTGGAGGAATCTTTTTGCTATTTTACTGTTTTCTTAAGTAGATGAATTTCTTTATTAAAACCTAAAACAGATAGTCATTATTTACAGTTCTTGTTCCTTACACACACTGTCCGTTAACTTCTCTCTTCTATGAGTTTAATTTAAATAAAGTGATCTTTTGAATTTTATATAATTGGCGCTTTGTAACCGCTGAAGCTATTTTTGGCCTAGCTCTCATCCTCTTGAGGTTTTTCCAAAAAATAGAGGAACCTACAGTTTATACTAAGCCGCCTCCGACCGGCTGATGAGTGGTTCTATTTCATGTCAGAAATACACTCGGAGGGGTTAGCATTCCCTGCCGAGGGGTGGCCGCAATTCTTTTGAATTATTGTATGATATAAAGGGTGTTTTCATGCCCGAATTCGCTTTAGCGGTTACAAAGTGCCAAAGGTATATATATATATATATTGTAGGGTGTTTTTTAAGACGTAAGGTTTTCATTGAGCCAATACGGAGTTTTTTCGGAGTTAGTCTCTTTGAGTGCTATTACTTGATTTATACTTAGTTTGGTTCGCCATTTCATAATAAACAGACTTACACAGGAACAACGTTCGTTAAACCTTATTACGTCGCTTCGAGGGACGCAAACCGCGCTACATCCAATATTTAGTCGATATAATCGCACAGAAATCAATAATTCGAGTAACAAAAGAACGACCACGTCTACTCTAGTGGATTATCCGCAACCTCAGAGATCAGAATGTGTCTACCCGCCATCGCACACAACTAAATATATGCAAAAATTAAAGACGAACCACCATCAACCGCTAAATTGGCTTTTAATTGAATGGGTACGTTAATAAAAAAAAATCATTCTAGCAATTCGAATGATGATAATCCCCAAGCCATTGTTGAGACGCCATTACATCTTCAAAAATTCACTGTTTGGCGTGCCCATTGGTTAGATTGAATCATTAGTAAATATTTCTTCAAAAATGAAGCAGGACCATAATGTTACAGCCAATGCGAAGACTCTAGAGCTATGATTAAATGATGACTTTCGTACTTGAAGTGGTGAAAGTGTATGTGGACGGCCTTTGGTTCCACTAAAATCAATGTTTTGAAGGAAGCTTTTAGTGAGTGCATCATCTCGCGTCGCAGTTGTGAGGGGGAGCTCTAAGTCAGTGATTTAACATCGCTTGACCTATTTTTGTGGGGGGGTTATGTGAAATCGCTTGTCTACGTATATAAGCCTGAGGCGATTGACGCCTTGGAAAAGGATATTCGGCACGGTATTGCTGACATTAAGCCTCAATTACGCGAAATCATTTTTGAAACCTAGCAACGATCTATTATACAATATATAATCCTGCATATATATTATCTTGCGTTCCTCAATAATTTTTCGATAAAATTATGAGTCTCATGATTTTTAAAAACGTTGCACCGATAACCGATATTTTAATTTGTTTTCACTGTTTTGTTTCTAATTTTTTTGTTGTTTTCACTAAAACCGTAATCGAACAAAGTCCGTATTTGGTTATCACAGAAGTTAAATAACAAAGAGAAATTAATTTTTGGGCAAAATTCGGTTACTAAAGATGCGTAAATGGAATAAAAAAATTTGCTTCGATTTTACGTGCTTCCTTAATGGTTATTCTTGTGAACTTATTAATATTAAAAATGAATACTTAAATATATACAAATAAGTTAAAAAAAAATAATATTTAAAAGCCTTACCGCCATTCGTAAAACAGTTGTATTCATAGTAATGTGGGTAATCCTTAGGCAATCCAGTGGATGGCAATTGTGTCGTTGGAATCGTTGCAGAATTCACCACAGGTCTGATTTGGGCGAGCCAACAACAAAGTAATATGATCGCTTGCATTGTTCCAGAAAAAGACTTTGCCATATTTGCAAATATGCGACTAAACTTTTGTCTGGAGGAATTTATTAAAAACGATGAGGCATTGTTGTTTGAAATTTATTTCCGCTTTATAATTATTAAATGCAAAACGTTTATTTCATTATGTCTTTATTATATGCATGCATACACAGATACATACATATTTATGCACATAAGTGTATTTTTGTATAACATTTTATTTGTTTTTTTTGTTTGTACGTTCTGATGCAAAAATTGAAATTTAGAAATGCTTTTGTATGTACATACGTATATGTATAAATGCAATATTTATTTATATTCCTTGTTGTTGTTGTAAATTAATTTATAAATTTATTTTAATGTTGATTAATCTTTAGCGTTTATATTCATTTTAGAATCGTTGATGCATTGATAACGTTTAATTAGAGGTTAAGTTCAAAAATACTCAGCTCCAGAATTCGGTTCGTTTGGGTTAAAAAATCAATTCAAAAATACGAGGTACAATTTACTTAATTATTTCAAAGGTAATATATTTTTATTGTAGTAATGATTAAGGGCATGCATATGTAATCAATTTATTAACGCGATTACTGTTTCATGTATTAATTTTTACTTTATTCATTATTGTACTTTCTTCAGAACACTTCCATCATTGATGTAATCTGAAAATAAAACGAAAAAAATTATTTGTTAGTGTAATAAAAGTAAGTAAAAAATTATTAACAAAAATAGTAGTCTAATACTTTCTACAACTACACCATCACAGAATTATTTTTGAACTATTCGAAGGCAGCACGGACTTCACGATCGGTTGGTGCGAGAATAAAATTCCGTTGACAAAAAGTATCGATTTACCAAATCGAATGCCACTGAGTTAACAGCTCAGGTTGTTTTCTTAATTATTATTTCCCAAAAGTTAACTGACTAGAGGTTTTTTTATTATTTTCGTATAACCAAATATATATTTTATGTGAACATATAATAAAGACTCTTATGCAGTGAATTTTGGAAAAACAATTTTTTTACAATTCAATATGTCTTTTATGTAATACAACTTATTATTGTACTAAATATAGCTTGCTATGCTAATTTTCCTTTCCACTCGGAATCAGTTCATTATTTATTATAGCGCCATTCAACGATAAAAATCTGCATTCATTTTACCGCGTCAATTCATAAAGTATGTTTATAGTACTTTTTTTTTTTTTTTTTTATGCGGTATAAAATTCGAAAATATTAACTACTGCTGCATACTTTCGCATATCGAATAACAAAAGTTCAATGCTTTTATTGAAATTGCTAACATTTGCATATTGTACGAGAGGCTTTGTGAATATGTATTGATGTCGCAACTTGTTTATCAATAATTTACTATAGCTCTTACTTACGCTACTATTTTCCAATATGACCCCAAAAAATGCCCACGATTGTACTTTTTCATGCATGGCATAATATTCAAAACAAAAAATCGAGTTAAGATCAATGACTTTCATCAATATTGTAGGCGCGCTTTACATACGTAACTTGTAATGAGATAGCCAAAATATTTTATAAAAAATATAATATTAATTATTCAATAGAGGCTTATTAAAAGACCATTGCCAGGAGCCTCAGTTCGTTGTGAGAAAATGTGATGGAAATTTTTTAATCACAAAATTCTTTTTTGCCAAAACTTACTAACTAAAATGTGTCTGTTAACCCAAAAATATATCTAGCTATTTTTGGCGAACAGCACAAGTCATATTCATACCCAAAATAGGAAAGAGAGGGCAATGAACTCTCAATCAATTCGTCTTCATTTGCGCCAAAAACAGATATGCGTCTAGTAAATATCTCCCTTCCGCTTTTTTGTCTTTTCGCGGCTATGTACAAAGCGCTACAGAGCTCGTATCTCGCAACACTGTACATAATTTGAAAGGTCTTGACATAACCTACAAATTGGATATTGCGTTCAACAGTTTGGATATTGCGTTCAACAGTTATAGACGTGTAAACATGGAGTTCACAAACGCCGAAATTCGCGCTATTTTAAAATTTTCCTTCGTTAAAGGCAAATCCGCTAGAGAAACGTTCCGTGAGATTAATGGTGTTTTGGGGGATGGTACTCTATCACTTCGAACCGCGAAGGAATGGTTTCGACGATTCAGAGCCGGTGGAAACGACACCATGGATAAGCCAGCCGGCGACAAATACCAGACCTGTGACGACAAATACCGATCAAATCATGGAATACATCGAGTTAGACCGGCATATGACATCTCGTGACATCGCCCAGGAGATGATAGTTAGTCACCAAACCAATTTGAACCATCTGCAGAAGACTGGATACGAAAAAAAGTTTGATGTTTGGGTGCCGCATAATTTGACACAAAAAAAACTTCTGGACCGAATCAATGCCTGCGGTATGCTGCTGAAATGGAACGAACTCGACCCATTCTTGAAGCGGATGGTGACTGGCGACGAAAAATGGATCACACACGACAATATCAAGCGAAAACGGTCGTGGTCGAAGGCCGGTGAATCGTCCCAAACAGTGGCTGCTTGAAGCAGGCGATCGACCAGAAGCGTCCAGAATTGGCCTACAGGAAGGGTGTAGTGTTCCACCAGGACAACGCCAGACCACACACTTCGTTGATGACTCGTCAGAAGCTACGGGAGCTCGGATGGGAGGTTTTATCGCATCCACCATATAGCCCGGACGTAGCGCCAAGTGATTACCACCTGTTTCTGTCCATGGCGAATGCCCTTGGTGGTGTGAAGTTGAACTCAAAAGAGGCTTGTGAACAGTGGCTATAAGAATTCCTCGCAAATAAGGAGGGGGGCTTTTACGAGGAAGGTATTATGAAGTTGTCGTCTACATGGAAACAGATCATCGAACAAAACGGCGCATATTTTAACTAAATCCGATTATTGTCACACTTTTTATAAAGCATTGAATGAAGAGCAATAAAGCGGAAGGGAGATATTTGACAACCTCATATTAGTCGATATTAATAAAAAAAAACTGTGAATTATAAATGATAATGATGTTCATACAGAGGTTAAATCAGGAGGCACAGCACTACACAACGTTGCTCCCAACATCGAGCTGTAGGAGATAGACTCAATACACACCTTGTGAAGCCGAAAAAAATCTTGTGTACAGACTAACTCCAGGTTGGAATGGGAAGAAGAACAGCTTTACTTAACGCCTAACTATTGTGCAACCCTTAGCTCACTGGTGAATCAGACTTAGTTCTATTCACTATATTTAAATATGGAAATCCTAAACCGAATCAGTAGATATTTGAGAGGTAAAGTTTTCTCGACGCACAAAAGCTAAACTCTACAAGTCGCTCTTCATTCCCGTCCTGCTATATGATGAGGCGGCTTGAGCTATAACAACATCTGATGAGTCGGTGCTAGGACTTTTTGAAAGAAAGTCCTCTGCGCAGACGTAGAAAAGATATATTGTAGGAAATATGCGACGATAAACATGATGATAAACATTTGTAATCGCTGCATAGCGATTTTCGACCGAGTTCCTCCTGCGATTGGTGGTAAGCGTCTTGATAACAAGGAGTTACCCCTTCAGTATATACTTAGCCGCCTCCGAACGGCTGATAGTTTTTATGAGAAGCCTTTTTTTCTTGCCAGAAATACAATACATTCGGAGAGCTTGATATTCCCGGTCGATGGCCGACTGCAATAGGAAAAGTTAAATTAATTTTAACTTTTCAGTTGGTCAGACCAGGACTTGAACCCGGGCCTTCCGAGTGGCAGTAAGCAGTGCTAACCATTCGGCTATCGAGTCACCAATATATGTAGTAGACGTACATAAAGTATATGCCGAGATTTCAATTGTTATTCCAGCACATTTGATTTGACGGAATCACGTTTCGTAACGAAAAATACTCTACTAACTTCACTCAATACTAGTAAGTAACTCTCTAAACTAAATTTCGTTGGTTGCCTAATCAAACTTATATTTCAGCTGATGAATTTGTTTTTTGTCTGTAACCGTTGGGCTTATTATTATTATTACAATGATATTATTATCATCATTGAAAGCTCTCAAATTGCTGGGAGATGTTTTCGGCAGACCTATGGCATGCCGCAGAATAAGTAGACAACCAAACGGTAAACATCAAACATCATGAAGTCGGCAGTGATTACACTACACCGTGTGTCCCAAAAATAACCGAACTTTTTGGATATAAAATAAAATACATATTATATTATCTTGCAAAGTTATTATTTATTCAAAATAGGTTCCATTTGACTCAAAACAACGTTTGGAACAATCAACCAGCGCATGCACAGATTTTTTTATGTCATTTATAAAAATGTTCTTCAGTACCTCGGTTACGGCTGCCTGAATGGCAGTTCAGTTTTGGAAATAAAAAATAGTCACGTGGTAATAGATCAGGCGAATACGGCGGATGGTCGATGAGAGAAATCCCTTTTTTCATTAAAAACTCGAGCGATGTTTCGGTCGTCATTGAATTCATGTGGAACAAATCGCGCACAGACCTTTCTTTTCCAAAAATCATCAGTTAAAATTCTCCAAATAATGTTTTTACTCGTATTCAATTCCTCAGCCAACATTCTCGAAATGAAATTTGCATCGATACCAATGATTTCACGGACTTTTTCCACCAGTTCAGCACGATTACTAATTTCTGGACGTCCTGCTCTAGGGTCGTCATTTAAATCCTTACGACCATTTTTAAATCGTGTAAACCACGTATAAACTTGCGTACGACTCATACAATCATCACAATAAACTTTTTTCATTATTTTTTTTAAGTTTGACACAAAATTTTATATTTGCTCTTTGTTCCATTTTATTTTTGAACCAATAGCACACTTTTCCTTTTATTGAAATGGCTGTCACTTTTACATCTGTCATTCGGCTTACATGATGTTAAGCGCGTTTGGAAGAAGATCAATGTATCTATGTTGCAAATTTTCAATAGATGGCGCTGTATGTTGTATGATTTAAATATAAAGTTCGGTTATTTTTAGGACACACCGTGTATGTAAGAATGTTAACAGAAGATTGATTATCAGTCTCATGCGGGGAGGAGAATAATACACAAGAAACGTTCTTCGGATCGAAAAAATACTGACAACGAGTAAGTCGGACTTTAGTTTGCTGGTAAGGCTGCTAAGGAGGCGTTTGTCTGTCTTTGGGTTTGATTGGAGAACAGAAATGCAAAGAAAGTGAACAGTGTTACTCGGTGAGGTGACATTGCAGAACCTTCAGTCACAATGTAATACACAAAGGGCCGCAATGTCTTCTTTAATTTTCTTATAGTATAATAATGTCATTTATACTATTGTATAATACTAGAGACACAATAAAAAGTTGATCAGCATAGATCATTTATTGCTCATGACACCACTGTTGAGGGTTCATCGATTTTGTGAAACTGTCAAGGTTTCGGTCAGTACGACCTGTCCTAACTTAACTATTAAAAAAATTATAAGGAATATTATGAATACACCAATCATGCTTCAGAGCGCAAAAAATCCTTAGTATTTTCGAAAAAGAAAAACATTATTACCTCGCATTATTTATCAAAAACCACTTAACAAGCATATAACATTATTTAAATTAAAATTGTTTTACCTTTAAATGCAATATTTCACTTCGCTTGTGTTATGGCTTAGATGTAGA